GGGATGGTGGATGGGTCATGCTTATTGATATAATGTAATTTAGTGTAAAAAAGGAGTTTTTGTTATTAAAGCCTAGCAAAAGTTACTTTTGCGTTTCTTGGAATGTGTGGTCTCCCCAGCACGCCTTCTGCAGTGCAACTAGTCTGCAAATAGTCAACACACATCAGCAAACAGTCCTAAGAACTGAAAAGGGAAGTGACAAAGGAATGGAAGAAGATGGCCTGCTGGATGAGGCCAATAGTCTGCCTGGCCCATCATCCTGCTCACACAGTGGCCAACCAGATTCTCCAAAGCAAGCCCATGAGCAGGACCCAAGCACAAGAGCACGCTCCCCTCCTGTGGTTTCGAGCAAATGGTATTTGGTCGACTTGCCCCCTCCAGCTGTGGAGGTAGAGAATAGACATCATGGCTAGAAGCCATCTCCAGTCTTCTCCACGCATTTGCCCAACCCTCTTTTAAAGCCACTCAAGTTGGTGGCCCTCACTACCTCCTGTGGCAGTGAGTTCCATAGTTTCGCCTTGCACTGCGTGAAGAAGGGCTTTCTTTTGAAACAGCTTCCTATGTCCCTCTGTTGATGTCCTTCATGCTGGAAGAGGACCTCCATGAAGGGCTCTCTAGTGCACCCACCAATATACAGTGGTACCTTGGGTCACAGACACTTTAGGTTACAGACTCCACTAAACCAGAAATAGTACCTCGGGTTAAGAACTTTGCTTCAGGATGAGAACAGAAATCGCCCTGCGGCGGCGCAGTGGCAGTGGGAGGCCCCATTAGCTAAAGTGATACCTCAGGTTATGAACAGTTTCATGTTAAGAACGGACCCCCAGAATGAATTAAGTTCTTAACCCGAGGTACCATTGTATTAGGTTCCTATGTGGTTGGGACCTGAAAGACATAACTGGACAACAGCATTCCAATGTGCAACAGGAGGTTGAGAGCAGCCATTTAAATTTCCCACAATGCCTTGGGGTGAAGCTACTTCGGGGATGTGGTAGGAAATTGGCATGGGGACCTAGATGGTGGGCATTTCTTGGTGGTCGGGAAATTCAAGCCAGCATCCATGGTGGGTTTTGCCATTGCCCTGGACAACAGCATTCCAATGTGCAACAGGAGGTTGAGAGCAGCCATTTAAATTTCCCACAATTCCCCAGAATGAATTAAGTTCTTAACCCGAGGTACCATTGTATTAGGTTCCTATGTGGTTGGGAGCTGAAAGACATAACTGGACAACAGCATTCCAATGTGCAACAGGAGGTTGAGAGCAGCCATTTAAATTTCCCACAATGCCTTGGGGTGAAGCTACTTCGGGGATGTGGTAGGAAATTGGCATGGGGACCTAGATGGTGGGCATTTCTTGGTGGTCGGGAAATTCAAGCCAGCATCCATGGTGGGTTTTGCCACTGCCCTGGGACTCCCAGTATCTACCAGAGAGCGCATTTCACTGGTGCAGGTGATGATCGTGTGGCCCTGCTCATGTATGCATTCCTTTCTTTAAGGCGTTTATATTCAGTCTCTCTCCCCCCCCCCCCCGTTCTCACAACAACCCTGTGAGGTAGGCTGAGAGGCAGCGAGGGGGCCCCAAGGTCACCCAGTGAGCTTCATAGCTGAGTGGGGATCCAAACCCTGGCCTCCCAGCTCCTAGCCTGGTGCTCTAGCCACTATGCCATGCTGCCCCAATGGCATCTGAGACTCAAATTGCCAGCGCCTGCCCAGGGAAAGCATTGCTTCAGGCCAATAAGCACTCTCAAGATTCATGTGCAATTCCAGCTTTTATTTCATACCATTGTTAAGCTTGCTTGTAATATATATATAATATATATATATAATATTTATATATAAAGTAGAATAGAGGGTGGGGAAAGCAACGGATATATTTTCATAAATATTTCTGTATGTTCCGCATACAAAACAAAATATGTACATCTGCGAAAGATAGTGGTTCTGTGCTGGGATTAATCCTGGCAGGAACGTGCAGCCTGTCCCAGGGTTTTTGGCGAGGTCTGCCAAAAAGGGACAACGTCAGTGTCTGAAATTCATGCATATCCCTCTGTGGGGGTCTCAAGACTCTTCGTCTGTAGCTAGCACACACACACAAACATGAACGCCCCCCTCCAGAACCAACTGCAGTGAGACTCAGGGTACCAGCAGATAATATTCTTTAGTTGTGATTCTTGCTGGTCAGGGGGTTGGCCAAGATGACCTATGTCCACACCTTTCCCATCTCTGGCCTAGCAGAACCACCCACAGACTTGAGCCCAGGTGTCCCCAACCCAAACCTTTCTCCTTGTCCCGGTCTGTGGTTGGGTATAAGCAACATTGCATGCCTCCGTTCAGGAGAGGGCAAGGCTGAGACTAACAGATAAGGGTAAAGGTACCCCTGACCATTAGGTCCAGTCGTGGCCGACTCTGGGGTTGCGGCGCTCATCTCACTTTACTGGCCGAGGGAGCCAGCGTACAGCTTCCGGATCATGTAGCCAGCATGACTAAGCCGCTTCTGGTGAACCAGAGCAGCGCACGGAAACGCCATTTACCTTCCCGCCGGAGTGGTACCTATTTATCTACTTGCACTTTGACGTGTTTTCGAACTGCTAGGTTGGCAGGAGCAGGGACCAAGCAACGGGAGCTCACCCTGTCGCGGGCATTCGAACCACTGACCTTCTGATCGGCAAGTCCTAGGCTCTGTGGTTGAACCCACAACGCCACCTGCGTCCCAGAGACTAATAGATAGTCAGGGATGAATATTCTTCGCGGTTTCCTGCCAAATTCCCAAGCAATACCCTTCCCCTTCCCAAACTCTTCCTTCCTCTCTCCTGCATGAAGCAGCCACGAGAAACCAGCTCCCACCATGTAAGGTTTAAAATCCAAAGCCATCCTTGTAAATCTGAAGAAACTATAAGTAAATAACTGTTTTTTCCTTTACCAACGAGACTTCTCTGTGTTTTAGGAACTCTTTTAAGCAATGCAAGTGATGTGTGAATGAGACAGACTGAGGGACTGGCTAGGTCCAGTTTCCAAGCTTCGAACTCAGCTATACAGTGGTACCTCGGGAGTCGAACAGAATCCATTCTGGAAGTCCGTCCGACTCCCGAAACAGTTTGAGCAGCCAATCGGAAGCTGCGGAAGTTGCGTCAGACATTCGCAAAGAACTTTCGCAAACCGGAAACACTCACTTCCGGGTTTGCGGCGTCCGCGAGCCAAAACGTTCAACTCCCAAGGCGTTCGGCTTCCAAGGTACGACTGTATAACTATATTCTTTTAAAAAACAACAACAACAACCACAAAATCTGCCATGTGGTTTTCCTCAACGCATCACTTGCCGTGGTTATTTTAGGTCCCATCTGTGCTACACACTTACAGCAGTGCCATGCCACGATTCCCCGCTTGGGAATAATAGCAGCTTAACTTTGGGTACCAATCCAAGATTATGCACATTCCCAGCCATATCTTGACACCATGAGTGGGACGCATGAGATTGTCCTTTGCCGCCGAAGCTCTCTTTCAAGGTGGATCGATGCAAGGATCAGCAGCTGGCAGGTCTGGGGCCAGGGCATAAGGAAGAGCCCTGCTGGATTGGCACGAAATCTCAGCGTCCTGGTCCTGGGAGTGGTCCACCGTGTGCATCCCAGAATCCCACAAAGACAACGGTTGCCGTCCCTGACCCTGTATTCCCAGCAACTGGTATTTCAAGAAAGACTGCTCTTAAACCTGGAGGCTCCATTGACTTTTCACGGCTGACAGGGGTGAAGCCAGGCCTGCCGTCGGCACCCAGCATGCTCAGGCAATTGCCAGGGCAACCCCAAAGTGCCCACTGGTTCTGATGTTGGTTGCTGGCATCATTTTCTTTTGTTTGGCTTTCTTTTGCACGGCAAGTGTGCCGTGATGCCAAGGTTGCAGTCGCTCGCCACTTTCAGGACTTAGAAGCATTCTAGAGAAAAGGCATCGTGCAGCTACAGCCTCAGGGGGCGCTCTGCTTTGCAGTGTGCCCGCTGCCCTCGGAAAAATATCAAAGCACAAGGGTCTCTTCCCCACTGGCACCTCATAAGCTTCCTTGGGGAGACCACCAGGTTGCAATGGGGATCCCCCAGAGGACATCATGCCCAGGGCTCCCAGAAACCTGATGCCAACTCTAGGGGGAGGCTACCCTCCAACTGTCCAGCCCCAAATCTAAAGCTGTGGGAGGTAGTGGTTGCTGCAAGAGTAGGACTTTGAGCACTTCCAGATGGCCTGCTTATTGAGCATGCAACTTGATTTGCCTGCAGGGAGGTTAGGCAACCAGCAAGAGCTCTTCCCCATCACTTTCCTTCCCCAAGGCTGCTAGATTGGTTCCAGTTGTGCAACCTGTCTTTGCTGGTCTGCAACTGAATCCTACCCACAAAACTAAGACAGCCTGGAGGTGCCCCAAGTCTCTCCTGCGTTGTTCTTGATGTTTGCGCCCTCCCTCTCTGCCAATTCAGATGCATGGCATACCGCCTCCTTCTGGACATGCTCTGCAAGCGCAGGAGCCTCTGAGCAAGGCACACAAGAGAAAACTCAAGAGAAAGCGAGAATCATTGTGAAATTCACAACAGCGAGAGGTCACTTTTGAGGAACGGGGCTTGATCCTTTCCTGCTCCTTTCCGCTGCGTCATCAGCTTCTCAAAGTGACCGTCTGTCAAAAGCAGGGTTTCCCAGACTTGGGTCTCCAGCTGTTTTTGGACTACAACTCCTATCATCCCTAGCTAGCAGGACCAGCAGTCAGGGATGATGGGATGTGTAGTCCAAAAACAGCTGGAGACCCAAGTTTGGGAAGCTCTGCTCAAAAGCAATCACTCACACCAGGCACAGTCACTCAACCCTAGAAAGAAGGGGAAAACGGGGGCAAAATACTAAGGGGATCTTTCCTCCTTTGACGGCACTCCCATCCAAAAAAAGAATGATGTTGTGAAAAGGGAACCAGTAGAGAGAGAGGGAGAGAGAGAGAGAGGGAGAGAGCCTCTGCAGTAAAACACTGCAGAATTTCCTTTGTCCGCTATCAAATGTAATGTTACATTACAACAGAGAAACAAAGGCTCTCCTGTATTGACTTTCATGTGTTCTTATCCCATTCCTGGCCACCTGCTTCCCATTCCCCCGGCCCCATACCACACACAGAAGGCACTCAGTGGCCAGGTATTGAACAATAACAAGAAGGCCGGTTGTCCACTATATAAGAACCAAGTTTGGTCTTTGCGGTTGTTTTGGCAAGGAAGATCCAAGCGCCAACACCTGTTTGTCAGCTTAAGCCATGCTGTCCTCCACGGATTGTGAAAGATGCTTCCTAATTTATGAAATGTCTGGTCATTCCAGCGTTGTGATGGCTTTCCAACAGTCTTGTGGGTTTCTTGTTTAAAAAAGCAGGGCAAACATCGTCCAGGGTTCGGAAAGCTTTTCTCCTGTCCGAAAAGCGCTGGGAAATGTGGCACAGATGTCTCAGTCTGTGGGCCCAGAGGGGAGCCGAGTGGCGCGAGGAGGGGGCCTCACTTGCACACGTATCTCTCGACAGTCCTCTCGCACTTTTTGCAGGTGACGTAGCAGCACCAGTGGTACTTGCAGTGGCAGCGCTCCACCACTTTGTCCATGTAGGGGTTGTAGCCGCGGCCGCAGCACATAAGGTCACAGCTGTCGCTGCCGTTGGAGGTCTTGTTGCATTGCCTGCAAGACAGAAAACGTCATGAGCTGGGGATGCCAAAGGCTAGAGGGTGGGGAAGGATGCCTGAGGAACTCAGCTGCGAAGCCCATCAGGCTCCTTGTGGAACTGGGAGCTGGAAGGGAACCAATACATCATCAGGTTGGAAGCGGCCAAAAGCATCTCCGCCTGGGAAGACTTTTCCCTTTCGGGGAAAGGGCTGTAGCTCAGCCGTAGAGCATCTGTTTCGCATGCAGAAGGGTCCAAGTCCAATCCTAACCATCTCTCCAAGGAAGGCTGTGAATATCCCCTGATTGGAACCTCGGACAGCCTCTTCCAAGAACCAGTAGTCCAATTTAGCAGAAAGTGACGTCCTATGTTTCTGTCCTCAAACGCAATGCATGGTCTTCCCCTGACATTGCAGGAAGAGGAGACAGGACACAAACAGAGGCACATCTGCTGAAATTGCAGCATTTGCACAGGTTACAGCATCCCACTTTTCCGGGCACCGAATTTGGATCGGGACCCTCTTGTTGTGGGTGCTCACGCCTCCAAACTGGAAGGGGCTGATGCATACCCTCCAAAATTTTCTGATGGAAATAGAGACGTCCTATTCCGTATGTCCTCCAACATTTCTCTGATGAAAATAGGGACATTCTATTCCATACCCTCTAACATTTCTCTGATGAAAATAGAGGCACCCTATTCCATATCCTCCAACATTTCTCTGATGAAAATAGGGACATGGAATCCATACCCTCCAACATTTCTCTGATGAAAATAGGGACATGGAATCCATACCGTCCAACATTTCTCCGATGAAAATAGGGACATCCTATTCCATACCCTCCAACATTTCTCTGATGAAAACAGGGACATTCTATTCCATACCCTCCAACATTTCTCTGATGAAAATAGGGACATTATATTCCATACCCTCCAATATTTCTCCGATGAAAATAGGGACATGCAAGCCATACCCTCCAACATTTTCCCAATGAAAATAGGGACATCCTATTCCATACCCTCCAACATTTCTCTAATGAAAACAGAGACGTCCTAAGGAAAAGCAGGACATTCCTGGATCAAAACAGAAACTGGGACAGCTTCTATAAATCTGAGGCTGTCCCCGAAAAATAGGGACATTTGGAGGCTCTGCTGAGGGAGTCACCCAAACAAGGATGGTGCTTTGAAAGGAAGGGGAAGGCAGTTAGCACCATGTTCCTATAATCTTTCAGGGGACATGTGAAGAGGGGTGAAAACACTTGCCTCCTTTGAACTGCCACATTAAAGGAAGTCATCCCAGCAGGGCAATCCTTGCAAGCGGGAGTTGTTTTTCTTTCTGCTCAAAGGAGTGCTGTTCTTTTCTTAATATTGGGGTGGAGGGAATCCCCCCTCAAAACGCTGCCTTTTGCCGTGATCACACAAATATAAGAATGTGCTTTATGCCAGATCAGACTATTTGTCTATTGAGCTCAGTGCTGTCTACTCCGGGGGTGAGAAATGTAATACCCCACCCCAATTTTGCGGGACAACACACATGAGCCCCAGCCAGCATTATCTAGGATCAGGGATGATGGAGTTTTTAGTTAGTGATGGGCACATTCTGTCAGTTTTCCGTTTCTCTCGGCTTCTTACTTTGCCGGCCTGAAGTTCAGTTCTCCACACTGCCAAATCAGTTTCCCCCCCCTTTTTAAAAAAAGCCCTCAGCAAATTCATCAGCATTCCTGTGTGCATTTCTCCTAATACACACAATTTTTGTTTGCAAAGCAATTTCCCCTAATGCAAAGCTGCAGCAGCCTCATATCTGGTGTTGCTTGGGGATTCTAAGAAACCAAAAAATCAGTGTGGTTCTGAAAGGTTCTGCCCGCCATATTGATTCAAAATGGCACCTAACTGTATTCAAACATAGACAAAAACCTGCTCCCTGACCTCAGGGACCACCATGCAACGTTTGGTGACGATAATGTGGTCTTAGGTAGATTGTCCTTTAAATGTGAACACAATCAGAATTCTCTACAAAAACTGGGTATCGGCTGCTCCTGGTCTAGTCTCACTGGCAGTTCTTCAGGGTCTCAGGGACAAGAGAGGCGCTTTTACTGCCTTCTGCTTGACCCTTCTAGCCAGAGATGCCAAGGATTGAACATGGACCTTATACGTGCAAACCAGATGCTCAAACCACTGGGCTATGGCCCTCCCATAAATAATAATAATAATTTATTATTTCTACCCTGCCCATCTGGCTGGGTTTCCCCAGCCACTCTGGGCAGCTTTCAACAGAACATTAGAAACAGAATAAAACTTCAAACATTAAAAAGTTCCCTAAACAGGGTTCCATTCAGATGTCTTCTAAAAGTTGGATACAGTGGCACCTCGGGTTAAGAACTTAATTCGTTCCGGAGGTCTGTTCTTAACCTGAAACTGTTCTTAACCTGAGGTACCACTTTAGCTAATGGGGCCTCCTGCTGCCGCTGTGCGATTTCTGTTCTCATCCTGAAGCAAAGTTCTTAGCCCGAGGTACTATTTCTGGGTTAGCGGAGTCTGTAACCTGAAGCGTCTGTAGCCCAAGGTACCACTGTATTTCCTTGACATCTGCCGGGAGGGCGTTCTATAGGGCGGGTGCCACCACCGAGAAGGCCCTCTGCCTGGTTTCCTGTAACCTCATTTCTCGCAGAGAGGGAACTGCCAGAAGGCCCTTGGAGCTGGACCTCAGTGTCCGGGCTGAACGATGGGGGTGGAGACGCTCCTTCATACTAGGCCGAAGCAAATAATTTTTTGGCAAGCCCTAAATCTCATTCCTCTAGCAACCCCCCCCCCCAATTACCACACAAGGCCATGCATCGCCCCCTCTTAACCATGATCCAAACTTCACAGCAGCGCCATTCTGGGCTCAGTTTCTGGTTGCAGCTGCACGATACCAACTGCCAATAAACACAAGGTCCAATGGATGTGGAAAAGCTGCGATTTTTTTTTCTGTCTCTTTACAAACGGCTTCAACACTGCTTCCAAAACAGCCTGGCGTGCTCCATCGCTTTGGACACGGCCGTAATTCAACATGAGATCTGGTTGGCGAGAAGCAGAGGAGGGAAACCGAGGTGGTGGAGGAGCTGAGGATGGCTGGACCCTACGCCGTGGACCATCGGTTAATGGATGGAAATGAATCCGAAGAGATTTATATGAAATTCCTCATGAGGTAATGCTTATGAGAAGTTATGGGATTAATGAAGTGCTGAGATCTCGTTCTCGGCCTGTCCTTTTATTTATTTCTGACTCAGCCTGGCCTCCTGTTTGTTATTTCAGATTTGAGTTCCTATCCAGGTTTAACTCTCCCTCCCCTTTCCTGGCTCTCTTAAGCCGGCCGTTCTCATCACCCACTTCTTTTTTTTCCAGGGGTGTGGGGTGGGCTAAGGGGGAGAGAAAAGATGCGTGCAAATATTTACAGATCTCTGGAAGGCTCGGCGCGGCTCCTTCATTGCAGAACGTCCCCCCCGGGAGCCAAAAACCCACAATTTGCGGCCACATGCTGCATGTTTGTCTAGTGCTGGACCGAAGGCGTCACTCAAAAGACACCCCTGCGAGCCAGGATGGCCGCCGGCAGCAAACCTCAGTGCACTCCCTCCCACACAAATTAGCCGAGAAGACAAATATTTGGAGCAAAGGTTCACAGGCTGAAAACAGGCACGCGGGGGGAGCTGGAGGGTTCGGGAGGAACTTTTGTGACTGTAAACCCCCTAGATTGCCAGAAAATCATCAGCAGGGAAGGGTGTGATTTGTAGGAGAAAAGCGTGGGGTGAAAGGTGTGAGAGGATTAGACAAATTCATGGAGGTCATCACGACTATGTTCTTCCACTGCTAGAGGCCCTATGCCTCTGAATACCAGTTGTTCAGGAACACAAGCGTTCTTGAGCTCAGGTCCTACTTGAAGGCATCTGGTTGGCCAACAGGATGCTAGACTAGATGGACCATTGGCCTGATCCAACAGGCTCATCTTCTGTTCTTCTCATGTTTAGACTAGGACCACAGCCCTGAATCTGCTTCCTTTGCAGATGTTAAGACACACAGCATCTTAAAAAGCAGAGACATCACCTTGCCGACAAAGGTCCGTATAGTTAAAGCTCTGGTTTTCCCACTAGTGATGTATGGAAGTGAGAGCTGGACCATAAAGAAGGCTGACCGTCAAAGAATGGATGCTTTTGAATTCTGGTGCTGGAGGAGACTCTTGAGAGTCCCATGGACTGCAAGAAGATCAAACCGATCCATTCTGAAGGAAATCAGCCCTGAGTGCTCACTGGAAGGACAGATCCTGAAGCTGAGGCTCCAATACTTTGGCCACCTCATGAGAAGAGAAGACTCCCTGGAAAAGACCCTGATGTTGGGAAAGATGGAGGGCACAAGGAGAAGGGGACGACAGAGGACGAGATGGTTGGACAGTGTTTTCGAAGCTACCAGCATGAGTTTGACCAAACTGTGGGAGGCAGTGGAAGACAGGTGTGCCTGGCGTGCTCTGGTCCATGGGGTCACAAAGATTCGGACACGACTAAACAACAACAACAACAACACACCGCACTCTTTCTGCCATTGCCCTTATGCCCTACATTGATGGGCTTCCCAGAAAAGACATCTCTTCTGCAGTAGAAAACAGCATGGTGGACCTTTAGCCTGGCCGGCTGATGGACTCTTCTGATATCTGTATTCCAGATAAGAATCCGTCTCTCCCTTCACCACCCTGCAAACTCTTCTGCTTTGTTCAGAACTTGTTTACTCCTCCTTTCCCTTCTTGTCTTCAACTTATCCAGGCAGCAAAGATCAGATCATGCCAAAGAACAAAGGAGCGTAGTTTAATACCGTGTGCTAAATTCAACTATTTTCCTATTTACACCAGTGTAATTTATTCTGATTGGCAGGGGCACCCCAATGGCTGTTTGAAAAGAACTCCCAAGTACCTGCTACCAGAGATTCCTGCTCTTTTTTTAGATTACCCGCTCTGGGATCCCACAGCTAATTCTCCCCTGGTCTCCTCGCTGGC